AGGTCACGTGACTAGTATCATGCCAGTCGTTCTCTCGAACCTTCGTGAATTGTCGGGAGATTACTAGATATAGTGTTAGTCTTGTATATATATAAGATGGTCACAACGTGACGGAATAATGAGTAGGTAGTGAGTAATTGAACTGCAGTCAGAGAGTATTGTTAAGTTAACGTTCATTATAGCGTTTGTTATAGCGCGACTGTTGAAATTAAGTGTATCGTAAAGTTGTATTCGGAAAGAATAAACCAGTTTTATTAAGAAATGGCTTGTGTCGCTAAAGTTTCGTCGGAACAAAGTTACGGAAAATCAACTAACGAACGGAGACGTAACAATACTGTGAGTTCCTATTTTCTTGTAGTATTATATCATTTATTATTTTTCCTGAATACGTGCAGATTTCATATAACACGTGGTTGAGAAAGACATTAAGTTGATCTGTTTATAAGTTAGCTTTGTTGTTCTCGAAGTAAGTAATACCTGTTACTAACAGGGGAGAGCTTGTGTAAGAATGTATATAGTAGTTTCCTTCAGCCGTTGTTCAGGTGATGTCTAGACGTTACAGCTCCACCTATGTTGTAATGAAAATGATCAGTCCCGTGGTGGCGCATATCACTCTGGGTAAATGTGGGGTTTTTTGGAAGCTAAGTAACTTTGTATTTAGTAGTCTGGAATCTCAATCAATAATCTAGAACTTGGCTGTGATCAAATCCAAGAAACCCCGCCTTCAGCGACCATTCAAAGTAAATTATCAGCAAGTACACGCACCGTGTTTGTGTTTAGTGTTATTAATAAAGATTGTCTGTTTTGTGTATCACTTTTTGTCTAGTTTCATTATTTTATTTCCCATCAATTCAGTAAGACTTTTAGTTTTTCTTCGTAATGAATATCTTGATCGAGAAATCTCCTGTTATTTAGCAGATCTATCCAATAGCCTGAACGAATATTCAGTTCACTTGGATAGACCACAATATTAGGTGTAACTGTGATGCCCCCTAGTGGCTCAGTGGTAATCTGAAGACTTATAGCGCTAATAACCGGGTTTCGATACCCGTAGAGGGCACAGCACAGATTGCCCATTGAGAAGCTTTGTCCGTAACAAGAAACAAACAGACAACTGTGACACAAAAACTTTGGGAAAAATAAATGATCTTTGTAGGTCAGAATACAAGATCACAAACGGCCATCAGTTCTTGTAACAAATCAACCACTGTTTGTGTAACCATGCTTTTTTATTATTCCTTCCTGTATTTCGTATCGAACCCGAGATCTCCCGCTACAATAGTGATGAACTTTATCCTTCCAGAACTAGTGTAGAGTATACCTCTAGTCAGATATGTTCATATAATATTCTAAATGTTTGTGGAGGTGTTATGCATGTAGTATGATATTTTTGTTAAGCAGATGTTGAAAACATACAACTCCCTTTGCTCCGATAAAGGCTACGTGCTTCAGCCTTTGTTCTTAAGTTGACCGCATATGTTTCTGCATGACCCTGAGGGAGCGATAACATATTCAAACAGGTAAACTACCAACATTGAACTCGGCACGATACACGGCTCCACAGAGATCGACTTTGTCGGAGTGTGTCCCAATGTCCAAGCTACTCTTCCCCTCGGGATCAGTCGTTGCATCTTGATCTTTGGACGAATCAGGTAAACTAGGGAATTATGGTATACTGCCCTTCTAACACGGTACAGAGTACAGCGTTATATGAGAACTTTCGTGGTCTTTATCTCGTGTAGACGTACTCCAACTTCAGCAGCCAGACTGGAATAAGGAAACCGGCCAGTAAGTATACAGAGTTGCTGAATTTCTGTGATTTGTTTTTATTTTGTTCAGTTGGGCGTGTTTCTTTTGCTATCCGGGTCCAGTTTACTGTCTGCAACACATCTGCAGATAATTCTTAATGGTATAACAAGTGACTGTGTAAACTATATTCTTAATGGTATAAATCCTGACTTTATTATTGATGTTTAGGATGTGCTTAGTGGAAGATAACAAGGAAAAAGTGACCAAAAAAACTCGCTAGATTTTTACTTGAGTGTTGAATAAATTTGATAAGAACCGTTTAATTTTTGATTTGTATCTAAAGTTTTTGTGAAATGATCCTAAAACCCACTAGGGTATTATTCTGTGAATCATAGTAGGGGGGATAACATTTGGTAAATCAATATAACTGGATGTCAGGATTCGAAATATGGGGAGGCTTGGGGGACTAACGCTTCCCTATAAGAGACAGTAGTCCCTTTTCAAATAATTAAATTTCAAATCCTGGGGTGAGGAATCTTCGTATCACTCCTCCATTGTGGGAGTTATCAGTGTCAATATTTTTGCTTTAAACCATGGCTACGTGTTTGTAAAGGTAAACTAAAGGAATGTGTTATATCTATTAACAGTTAGTTTGTGTAGTATGACCTTGTTATATATATATATATATATATATATATATATATGTGTGTGTGTGTGTGTGTGTGTGTGTGTA